ACTAGTAATTAATCTCTATCCGTTGATGCTTCATTTGTTCTATTGATGGATTCCATCGATGGAACGTATGATGAACTTACCTTTTATAGGTACATGGAGGACAGAAGTACAGGCAGTAGAGTAGCCTGAGGTACAGTACCCGTGTACCTCGGAGAAGAGTGGAAAAGGCCCTCAGCAGCTGGCTCCAAGAACCGGATTCTGGTTGAGGTCGATGACCCGCCCCCGCCGCGTCCTCCTTACCACAACCTCAAGCAGCTTTTTAATCTTTCTCAGATTTTTCTTCTTTATTTATTTATTTTTTAAAATTCTTGACATTGTATCTTTCCTTTAGCAACTGCGTTTTACAAAGTTATTTCGATTATTTAATAAACGATATTTTATATTTGTGTGACTCTAAAATGCAAGAGGTCATCAAGAGGTTGTGGAAAGAACCGGTATGACACTAAGAGCTGGAAGCTAACTTCAGTTCCCGCCTGGTTAACATTTACTTCCTACCAATCCCAAGGAATAAATTATAATAGTTAAAATACATTCCGCGTATCAGAATAGATATTCCATTTTTAAATTTTCATGTGTAAATGCTTTTAGTATAAATCAAACTAGTTAACAGTGCGAGATAGTCTAACAGCGGATTCCTTTTTCGATTAAGCGCAGTTTTTTTTTTTAAATTAGCATTTCTCTGGAATTATCCAACGAAAATGTGCATATCAGGGGTCAAACAGAAGTTGATAAAATGTTCTACAAACTAAATTTTGGTAAGTATCTTCTTAAGAAGTTTTCTTGAAATTCACTATCCTGTGAATTTGCGTGGATTTTAAATTTTGTCTGCCGGTTCAATGTTCCCTCTACCCTCCCTCCTCCTGAAATCGGCAGAAAAATTTTTCTGGTATAGGAGAGGGATAGTGTATATGAGCCTTTCAGTTGACAGAACGACTAACTCCAATTTTAACATTTTTTATTATTCATTTTAGCGACAAGGTATGAATGTGTTTAGAAGTTTTTATTTTTTATCTTATTTATTTAATTTTTCACTTTCACTTACGTCGTATATATGTAATGTATAGTAAGGGTAAGTATTGCGATCATGAAAATTTTTGAATCTGAATTTTCAACCAAGTCCCAAAAAATGGTCTGTGTGTGTGTGTGCTCAAAAACGAAAAGTCGTACGAAACTGATATTACGTATTCAAGATAGGTATATGCCTTAGATGTCCTAGCAACTTTTCCCTTAAAATTGGCTTATCGGAAGTGCCACTTTATATCAAGTATCAGTATTATTTATTTACTTTTTTTAATATTTATAAAAGTTGATCTTGGGAAAGAGACTATAATAAGTATTAGTAGAAAAAGGCCTTTTCAGTCTTGTTAAATAATTACTTATTTCATTTTTATCCAAATGTTCGCATCTTCAGGGATAATCTGATTTTACATGTAATTTAAATTTTCATCTGAAAAAAACCAGTTACAAAATTGTTTTAGAGGATTTATTATTAGACATTAGCCCTTTTATAAAACCATAATAACCTTAAAAAACAATATTCACTATTCTACCAATATATATATATATTTAAATGAAGTGTAAAATTAGATTATCCTTGAAGATTTCTGTGAAGAGGTGAAAATTTGGATAAAAATGAAATAAAGTAATTATTTATCGAAACTGAAAAAGCCTTTTTCTACTAATAATTAATGTTAACTGTACATAAAATAATTTTTTGTACAATTACATAAAAATGATTTCTTTTTATTAAAATGAGCACTTCAAATTTTATTTTACTGCTAGCAAATATTGTTAGCAGTTTAAATTGTAGTGCAAAATCAAGGTGGCAGGTAATTAGCTTTAGATGCATTGTTGCACTAAAGTCAGTCCCTTAACCTACAAGTAATTTATTATATTAAATTTTTTATATTGTATTATATGTTATTGTAATATTTGAATATTGTGTATTTAAAAAAAAAAATTGTTATACATATAATATCATTTTAATATTAAATCTTGAGGTGTTTATAGTTAATAAATAAGTAGACACTTTTTTAAAACACATTTTATTTAATATATCTTTTATTTATTTATTTGAACCCTACCGTGCCATTGAAGCAATACGGGTTTTGCAGAACTGGGTTGTTACACGTCACTGCATAGCTGCCTGCTTCTTCAATGGGACAACCTCTTCTTGTGAGGTTGAAGTGTACGGGTCCAATTGCTTCTTTCTACCCGTACACAAATTCTTTGTAGTACGGCTAATTTTCTTCCGTAACTAGCCGAGAGAAATCATTCTTGGTAAGAATATAGAGACAGGTCTCCCTCAGCAATTTGGCCCTTAGCTACTTGAAGTCCTTTCAGTTCATGATAATGTGCTCAGCAGTCTTCGGGATCCCTTAACGGTGGGCTAATACTTACTCAGAGTGGTCCCTTTCGGGCTTGTCACCCATTGTTGATTCCATATGTTAATTCTATCTTATTTAAATCTTCTACTTTTGTCGGATTTTTGCAGATTTCATGTTATTGGAATTCCATTATGTCTTTTTATAATATTGTTACTTTTTATAATAATGACTTCCTCGTACTTCCAATGGGACCGCTCGTATCGCTTTCTTTTGGATAAAAAGTGATTTATCATAGGACCTGGTATAATCCATCCAAGCTGGTGGAGTCAGAAATCTTTTTGTATCATCCTGATTGATAGCTTGTCAGACATTTTTTGTGATGCCCACTTTTCTGACTCAGTCCCTCTGACCATAACTCAAATTTTTTTTGCGTTTTTTTTTTTGTTTTCGTAAAAATATTTCCAAGGGTGCTGTCTATGTAATCATTTAGTTAACGATCCTTAAACAAAATTATATAATTTTTAATACTAATGCTTTAAGATTTTTAACTCATGCCTTATGATGTAATAGTTTTGTATGAATATTCAAATATAATGAGTATTAGGAGTTGAATATATATTTCAATTTTAATAATTTCCATTACGTACCTATTTTTAACTTAACTTTATTATATTTTCCATCTTTTATATTTTGATACAGGGTGTTTTAGGGCTAAGTGGCCAAACTGCAAAATTGTAGTGAGGACCTCAAAAAAAAAAAAAAATTTGCTTTGAAGATATGTTTAGGAGATATTCACACCTAAAGATTAGTCTTGCGCAAGAGTCTCGCAACAGTCTTGCAGTTACTTATTAGCTTATTACTATAGAGATAATATTGTAATTTTTTAGATAGGAGAAACCTAACTAAGCCCAAATGAGAAATTAGAGGAGTTAAATGCAAAAGTATATTGGTTACACCAATTATTATTAACATATAGTAACTGATATTGTCAAGTATTAGTAACTATTTTTCCTTAATTTTTATTTTAAAAATCTATTTTTTTTTACCAGTCCTATTGGTCTACATCAGCTAGGCGGCATAGCTAGACCGATTTTGGGCAACACTACTAAAGATTTTCGTTGTTATGAATTATTTTCGTTATATGAAATAAATACCACCTATTTATTTGTTCTAATAAAACTACTTAATTAATTAAATTTAAACATTACCATTTATATTAAAAGTTGTTCAAAATGATTTCCTTGAGCATTGAGACGGGCTCGGCATCTTTGTTCAACAGCAGCAGTGGCTGTATGGCGCTATTATTGTAAATGGAAGGCATAATGATGAGTACCCTGCAAAAGCCTCTTACAAACTGATAAATGTTATTGAGAGTTCCCAATGCTGATTCTAAATATTATTAATTCTTATGTTGCAAATAGTTTTTATACAGTTAGGAATAAGAAGCCGTATTAGTATTCTATCTAATCCATCTCCTAAACAAAGCGTTTGCGGACATACCTTCGCTTTGAACAACATTTAATGTGAATGTTAATGTTTACATTTAATTAATAAAGTAGTTAAAAAAAATAGGTTTTATTTATTTCATATTCATTCATTCATTCATGTGTGGCACGACATCCCGTTACCGAGACTGGGCCTCCTCCAAGAGCCTCCGCCAGTTGGCTCTGTCTTCTGCTGCAGCTCTCCAGTTCCGTACACCAAGCAGGGTTCTCGCATCATAGGCCACGTTGTCCAAGCATCTCGTCCTCGGCCTTCCTAGCCGTCTTGCGAGGTGCAGCTCCTCCATCATTATTTTCTTGGGTATCTCAACGGTGCTCATTCTGGCCACACGGCCCTTTATTTCATATAGCGTAAATAATTAACAACGAAAATACGAAGGATAACAACGAAAATCCTTAGGTAAGAATATCTCCTAAACAAAGCTTTTGCGGTCATTCCTTCAGAGGAATTTTTTTCTTGTTTTGAGGTCCTTATTTCATTTTTGCAGTTCGACCACTTAACTCTGAGATACCCTGTATACGTAAATATTTTCATGAAATTATTTTTTTTCTATATAAAATTTGTGTTATTTGTTGCCGAAGAATTAAAAGTAAAAGTCTTTGAGAAATGAAGAAAAGACAATTAATATTTAAAAATAAACCCACATTAAGCGCCGAGTTATAAATAAACGTTCCCGCTGTTTCAGCGCCCTCTATCAGTAGTCTGTGTATATTCACCGCCTTGTTTTATATATGTATATATATATATATATATATATATATATATATATATATATACATCTTTTTATTGTATTTTTATTTCGGAGGTTCGGATGAGAAAAAATAAAATTATTCAGACAATATTAAATTTAAGGGCAAACGAAATATTTTGAGATAATGTGGTCAGCATCAATAAAGGATATCAACTTTCTTAAAAGATATCTTGACATCAGTTAATGATTAGTGTTTTTAATTTAATTAAAATTTGTTGCTCAGCTCAATTTTAGTTTTATAGCCAAGTCAGCTAGGCTTCAATTTTAATCAGTTGGGCTCTAATTTGCAAGTAAAATTAGCTAAGCTTTATAGTAATAATTAAAAAAAAATACTAATACATGCATTATATATATATATATATATATATATATATATATATATTGTTATATTGTATTAATTTATTTTTTTCTCTGTTGAGGTCCCACCAGTAGAAGGCGTGGAGTGACAAGACTTCCCAGAGGTGAGTCTTTGCAATTCAATGAATTCAGCTTGGCATGTTTATTAATCATATTCCTCTTATCAAGGAATAAGAAATTTAAATAAGCGTTATTATAATATTTTAAATTAATATTTATTAATTATAAATAATTGAATTAAAATAAAACGTCTTATTTAGTTCATACGCGGCTGTTGAAATAAGACAGAATAAAAATACGCGTCATATTAACGAGATGCAGATTGTCTTAAATTTTTTTTTTCTTCGGTGGATTTGTTTCCGTACTTATCTCTGTTGGCTTAACCTGCAATTTGTGGTAAAGATAGCAAAAGGAGGAGAGCGAAAATTATTTTAAAAAAAAACTGATAAAGTGAACAAATGACACTAAAAAAACACGTTTCTTCTAATCTTACTTTTATCCTAATTATTCTAAGAAAATTTTAATGGAACTTTGAAGATCTGGTGGTTATTTGAAAATTCAGAAAGTTCTAGTTCGGGCAGAGTGCCGATTGATGTTACGTTTAATTTTTTTTTTTTTTTTCATTTTTAGTTATTTAATCAAACTATCAGTTATTGTGTAGATGAAGTTTATTGATTTATTAAGATGATATAAATATATCTTATATGTGATACAAATATATATCATAAATATATTTGATAATGAAATTATTGATGGGATATACCGGTAGACCTTAAGATGGGGTTTCTTTGAGACTCTTTTAAAATTTTTAAGCTGCTTCTGTTTTCAAAGTTAAAATTCTGAAAATATAACTAATGAATGAATGAAAAAATAATTTTATTCTGGGAATAAAGTCCCTTAAGAATAATAACAGAGTTACATAATTAAGAACATTAGTCTGGCTTAGATGAATAAGCCAATATAACAATAACAATTGTTATTGCAATTGTGCAGTTGATTGCATTTGACTTTGTACAGACGCAAGTGAATTTTAAAAAAAGAGGCAGCACGAATGACGGAGAATTTGTTGAAGGAAGTGGTTTTATGGGAAGGATATATAAATCTATAAGTTGAGACCTGGTTTTGAGAGAACGGATTGAGAAACGTAAACTGAGGAGTTCCAGGAGTACGTCGTGAAGAGTTAAAATGATGGGAAGGGTGTTGTGGTCCACCAAGACTACGCTAGGCCCGACTTGTTCCGGTCTCTGCAGAACTCCATGAATGGAAAGAAATTCCAAAAGGAAGAGGACATCTAAAACAACTTAGATCATTTTTTTAACAATAAACTACAGAAATTTTATGAACTGGAAAAAGTCATATTAAATAATGGTCAATATATTGTAGATTTTTTTTTTTTTTTTTTATTTATTGATGATATTTACAACTGTATTACAAGTAAAAATACAATTAGTAAATGTGAACAAAAGAATATAATAGCATGAAATCATTTGTTGAGAAACTACCCACTGGTAGCACTCTAAAAATGTATTTACAAAAGGAGATCTCGAGGCCATCTTCTTTTCAGACGCCTCGGAGGGTTGTTAGGAATCGAAAAGGAAGCAAGGTTAGAAACGAGAGGATTAGGATGGTTCTGAAGTTTGTTATGGAAGGAAAGGTATCTGGATTGGGCCAGGTCAGAAACAAGGAACATTAAGGTCGTTATGGATGATTTTGTTGGTGACAAAGTAAGGAGCTGTGAGGATTTTTCGAAGGATTTTGGATTGTAAGGATTGGATACGAGAGCAATTCGATGGCTTAGTGGAGCCCCAGAGCTCAATTCCGTAAGTCCAAATAGGTCTTATTGTAGTCATGTATATGAGTCTTTTGTAATTGACTGGGAGCTTAGAGCGTTTGTCTAGTAAGTGCTGGAGTAGTCGGAAACGTCGAGCTGTTTCTTGTCGTTTCAGTCTAGTATGAGGATTCCAAGTTTGACGTTTGTCTAAGTGGAGTCCAAGGTATCAAATTTGTTCAACAGGGATAAGTGGGGTATTATTAAAGGATACTGTAGGACAAGAGGACATAGGTTTACGACATATTGTAGATTAAAATAAATTTTTTGTCTATAATACATTGAGTTTTATCTTATCCTGAAAAAACCGAAAGGACTTCTTTGCCAACCCAATAGTAGTTGAACGTAATATTTTTTCTTATAAAATTTGATTAGATAAGTTTTTCAAAAAAGTTAGATGTGTCGACATTTTTGTTTTATAAAGTTCAAGGTACAGAGGTTGGGGTGTGTAAGGCTCTTAGGTTACACAGTACTAACTGAAGAGGTGTGATCTTCAGATTACAACGGTACCTCCGCGTGGGCGGATGTGGAATGTGTGGGTGTCTCTACTGGCTATATGGTCTTGTCGTCGTTAGGTCCTCCTTATAGGGTGTAAGGGTATAAAATAGGTTAGGTACAGGCAGCTGCATCTTGTTGGAGCTCTTCATGTCAGATCTGTTATATCTTGGGGTCTTTTAAAATTCTTTAACCCCACATATATTATTACAGTAAAGCTCGAAATCGGTTTTGTATCAAATATAAGCTCCTGTCATGTTCAACTACCATGAATGGGGTACCGTTGGATTCAGAATTTCACGGGGGGTTAGCGAATCGTATCCTCCACTTTTGTTTTTCTTTCTAAAATAAATAAAGTCGATACAAACATTTTGCTAGGCTTCAATACCTGAACAGTGGTAGGTATGTAGATCGATACGGGACAAATTGGGCTTTGAAGATTTTGATGCTTACAGCAAGCGATGCGTTTTGTAAGCCCAAAAACGTACTATTTTCGAGATAACGCATGGCATAGGGTTCGCATCCACACAACCTTACATTAATTGTAGTACTGTCATTGAATACGTGTAAACACATTTCGTCGACTTGAGGCCTCTATGATCGAGAGAGTAGGAGTTTATATTATTTATCGAAGGTGTTTTTGATCGGCAAGCCATATCATCGTTATGTTTTCACCAAATCTCAAGATTGAGTCACCAATTTCGAAGGCTTCGTTCTCCTTCAGGCGAACAAAATAATCCAATCACCCCGAAAATTCAAGCTAACAAATTATGAAAGAAAACAAACTTTATTTGCGAATAACAAAAAATTACACACTTTTCCCTGGGTTATACTCATGATTATATAAAAGATTACTATATTCCCCACAAAAGGAAAAAAAAAATCATGGTAATCAAACAATTTTTCAACGGTACAGCTCACTAAAATTTGTAAACATGTTGGTTCCAAACGAAAATGATGATTTAAATTAATTTTTGTTTCCTTTGTCGATTATATTTATCGATAAAGTAACAATTGATGTCTTTACCTTTTGATACGTTGCATTATTTTATTATTAATTTGGCATTTTATAACAATACGTTGTGCGAATTTTTCGCACGGGCCGACTAGTATATATATATTTGTATTCCTCAATACCAAACTTTGGTATTCAGATAGAAAGTAAGGAAAAGTATATCTTCAGAATCGTGTTTGACACATCAAGGAATATATTTGGTTCCCTCTCTTATCTGTCTGTTGCCGAAAGTAGGAAATTTTCACAGCCGCAGGTTCAATTTTCCCGAATTTCAATCTATGATTCCCAAAGAAATTTTCATCTCTGTAATAGCCTCATAATTTCGATCATTTAACACAAAGAAAGTGAGAAAAATTAGCTTTCTAGTGATATCCATAAAATTCACAAAATTGCACTTGACACACTTTTCACAGGTGTGAATAGTTATAGTTTTTTTTTTAAAATTTATTTCTGTATTAAGACAGCAGCTATTTTGTGAAACTACGAGTATGTAGGCGGTTGATATAGCATTATATCAATAGGATATAGGATATAGCATTTTGTTATTATTATTATTTACTTCCGGTTATTTATTGTCGATCGTATTATTTCTTCTAACATTTCTGTATTTCAAAAACGGCTAGTTAAATGGTATCCATCTTATCTTGTTCAGTTCGTCTTTAGTTACGTATACGCCAAAATATTTTTCTTTTTTACGTTTATATTTATAAAATGGCCATTCCCTTCAGTATTTTTTTTCACATATTAACCCTGAAACATTTAGCCAATATAAATTGTCATGAAATTTTCCTGAGTTTATTATTACAATTGATAAAAGGGCTGTAGAAATTTGCCATTTGGACTGTCACGGACTGTAACGACTGGTCTTATCTGAGGGGCGTGGCCCTCGCCCTGATAACGGGCCACCGCCACCGGTATCGCTGTCCGGTCTCCCTCCCTCCCCGCCTTCATAATCTTTATTTATTTACTTACTGTATGCTTTATCTCTATGATACGTTGCATTTAATTGATTTTATGATCCTATATTAATTATGTGCAAATAAATTATATTAATTTATGTTTGTCTTGTATTATGTATCAAATTGCAACTCCAAGTATAGAAAAACAATAATATATTAAATGATTTTTTTCTTGATATTATAGATAAGTAATGTACAGCGTTTCATGTCATTCAGAATTTCTCTCATAATGAATTTTAAAATATCTTCCTTCGAAATATTTACAAAATTAATAAGTAATATTACGTGTAAATACTCGTTTTATGTCTGTTTTATTTATATTATTGAAAAAATAATTTAAACTGTGTTCAGGTTAGGTTTTGATTGATGAAAATTTGTTTCCTACCAATTTCGAAATTACCCTAAAAAGATAATTTTATCTCCAAAATGGAACACCGGATGGCGTATTAAAAAAAATATATTTAAGAAGAATACTAGAAGTAAATTAAAGTACAAACAATTAAGAAGTAAATTAAAACAGAAAATATTGTTATCAACTCTTATGAGTGACATCTTTATCTGTGTTTGCTTTTATGACTCATTAACTTGCTCAATTCTATTTTGCAATTATTTGATCAAAACGTCAGCTGATTACACGTTCTTCAAGCCGACTTGTGCGATTCTTTTTAGATTATTCAATTTTTACTAAAAATATTTACTGCTACCTCTTTTTTACAAAATTTTCGAAGAATAAAATTAAATTTGTAACGATTTATGCAAAAGTTCCATATTCGTAATAATAATACAAATAACCTATCGACCCATGCG